ATTTTTGAAGTTTCATCCGACAATTTAGCAGAAGAATGTTGGCACTTCCAATTTTCCTGAATTCCACCTGAATGATAGGAAGTGATCATTTAAAGAAGAAGAAAAAAACACTACATTCCTTATATTTTTGTCTTCATAGGTGTGAATGTATACAGTAAATGTAATCCATGACAGATATACAGTATATTTAAAAACATAACATTATAATTTGGTACACTTGGATCCTTAGTGGGGCTGAATTGGTAACTTGCATTTAATTCTTTGTTCAACTATGATGCATATTGTGGTGTTTTTCTCTGCCTCTCAGAGCAAATTGCACTGAAAACAAAGTATTGATCACAAGCTCCACCTTCCTTTGGTTGAAGCATAGGATAAAAGTACAATCTACATAAATAAATACATAAATACGATAAGAGCCCTTTGAAAAATTGCAAAAGGTCCTTCTTAACTGGACAATTGATTTTAGGACAGCACTAATTAAAAGCAACTGAGATATGTGTGAGCGGGTCCATATGCTTGGTGACTATTTATCACTACTGTAAGGATACAGTCTTCTTACAAGATTATTTAACTTATTCCACAGTTGACTTAAAAGACTTTTCACGTAGTGAATGGGTGTCAAACTCACTACGTCAAGTGACGTGCCGCGACATGTCACGACTCTTTTTGCATTGCCGGCAATGGGGTGGGCGTGGCTTCGGTATGATGAAACTGGCCCACGGGCCGGCAGTTTGACACCCCTGAGTCCTAGTGTTCCACATCAGAATGTAACCCTTTGAAAAAAAGCAATGTCTTCCCCTCTGATACATCCATAAGACTGTATTATCTCAGCCAATGAGCATCTGAATTGACTGTGGATGTCAAAATTGCTATCAGGAAATACAGATATGGGAAGCCAGACATAAAATAGTTGAAACTTCAGTTGCTCCGATATCTATTGCTCTAGCCCCCAAACCTCTTGATACATTTTCCATATTCAAATATCACCAACTGGAGATGATATTTCCAGCACTGGTTGAGTAAGTAACCTCCCCTCAAATTAGGATCCCGGCAGAAGGATAATCATGCACATCATGAAGGGTTTTAAGTTCTCAACCTGAAGTGGAGAGTAGGAATGACACACAGACAACTGCTCTCTTCCTAATACAGGTTTTTTTTTTCACCACAAATTATAGAGAGCTTCAGCATGTTCTCCATTTCTGCTTTCTAGGGATATTATTCCAGGCTTACACTTCAAATTTTTTTTCCTATGGACTAACGATGGATAAAATTAAAATTCAAGACTGTAGAGCAAGATTCAAATTAAGGAACAAAGTTGCATCAGCCATAGAATGGGTTAAAGCTCTTGTTTCTTCTTCATGTTAAAAATGGCAACTTGATAATGAAATTATAGAAGATCTGATGTTTGGAGAGCTTTGGGGGAAGTGGAGGCATAATTTACAGCTCTTTGAACTTTCGAAGAAAATTACTGGGGGAAAATGAACTTGATCTGCAGACCAAGCTTGATGATTGCCTGTTCTCTGAATTTCAAGTCAAATAACATATTGCTTTGTACTTCTGATTATACAGTATTAGAATTATTTAATGTCACTTACCTTAGCTTCTTGCCTTCATCTGCAATTTTAGCCTTTAGAAGATAGCCTTCTTTGATTATCTGCAATAAATAAGTCGATGCACAATGTTTATTTATTCTACTATACTGTTATTTCTGATGGCATAATGCCTGTTTAGCTTCCACCTGAATGCACTCAATGAATGGGAACTATACCATCTGTCTGGACAATTGGTTCCACTGTCAAACTGCTGTTATTGTTAGGATTATTTTCCCCCCTAAAACAGATTTTCCTCTAACTTAAATCTATTACTCTGTGTCTAGAACAAGAAGCTGAGGATCTTCTTCCTTATGCAACATCTTCTCAGGTATTTGAAAAGGGACACCACATTTCCCATCTTCTTGGATTTCTCTTCATAAAACTTGATTTCTAGTATTTTATTTTCCCTTCTCTAATCCTGTTTTAATTTTTCTGAATCTTTCTTAAAATATGGCAGCCAGGACTGGAAACAGTAGCTAAGAAGGAATCTGATCACAGCAGATCAAAGTTTAAAAACTGTCCAAAGTAAAATGCTAGAATTTATATCCCACTATGATCTGAGCTCTATTCGGATTTTATGACTGAGCTCTATCTATGCATGTATGTGTATATGTAACCTCTGTATGTTATGTACGTAATATCATCATCATCAAAGGATGCAGGTTGGCTGAATAGTACATTGTTGCATAACCTCATAGGCCAGGGGTGTCAAACTCAATTTCATTGAGGGCCGCATCAGCATTGTGGTTGCCCTCAGGGGGGCAGGTGAGTGTGGCCAGGGTGTGTGCGGCCTACTGGGTGGGTGTGGATGGAGTGGGTGTGGCCTACTGGGTGGGTGTGGCCAGCTCTACATCATTCGTGTCAAGGGGGCCTGTGGGGGCCTGGGCAGGAGTGGGATAGATCTGAGGGTCTCTGGCAGAAGGGGGTGGGACCAGGGCAAGTGCCAAGGCATGGTCCACTGGAGAAGCCTCACTGTTCCTTTCAGGCCATGCAGGGGGGGGGGGCTTATGGAGCTAAGACTGAATGCGTTCCAGCATAGATGGCCACCACAAAATTGTACATTGGCTCCCGGCTGGCTTGGGCCAGGGCCAAGGCAGAGGGGGCCGTTCCCTCACTGTTTCCAGGATGGCTTCGCGAACCACATGAAACCACTTCGCAGGCCGCATCCAGCCCCCGGGCCTTGTGTTTGACATGTCTGTCATAGGCTGTTACTAAAAATAAAATATGTCTCTTAGCTTAATAGACACTTTAAAATTAAAATATTCAAGCAATGGGCTATAAAAGATTCATTTATAATATTGTTTGTTTTTATTAGCAAGTTTTTAAATGTAAACACAAAAGCATATGAACAGCTGATACTTTGAAACATGTTGGGCAACACATATGCTACATGATGCATATTCTTCATGAGCCCCTGAGAATTTTAAAACCTTTGTTCAAGGTACTAATGTTTATACCATTCAAACTTCTCGGGCTTGTTGTTTTAAAATAAAAACATGCATCACCCTTGTTTCTAGATCTGTATTGTTGCATACTGAGATTATATTACTTTCAATTAAGTTCCCATAAATTAGTTCATATTAAGTAATATAATTAATATAAAGAATATTCTATTTTATATTCTCTCCACCCTGTAGCATCATGTTTGCAGTAAACATGTGGTCTCTTCATCTTCTCCTTTGTTATCTTATATATTACACTGTACATTTCAGAATACTGACAAGGAAATTATTTTCCTCTAGCTAAACTTTGAGTTGGAGAAATCTTTTATTCATCCAAGCTGAGATTTCTTTGTTATTCCTAGCCTATGTAATTTAGTCTAAATTTTCCAACTTAGTGAGCTCCAGATATGAGACTAATATTGTCATTGAACTTAGAAAGAGTAGGCCTTGGCCAAGATGGAAAATACAGCATTGGAATTGAAATCCAACAGATTTTGGAAGGCACCAAATTGGGGAGGTCAGTATATAGAGCAGAAGCTAGAAACAACCAGAAACTGCAATTCTGTATTGATGCAAATTTAATAGTGGTAAAAAGTAGACATTAGGATTGCTTCTTGCCTTCATTATATCTTTTCCCTTGGTCTTAGGGCATAAGAGCACAGTTCAGAAATTAAGATTACTACATCTGAACCTGGACCATATTAGACATCTGTCTGCTGTGCTGGGAACCATCTGTTAAAATAGTTTCATCACAGTCCCTCCAAGATAATTCAAGTTATCTTTTCAGCCATTTCACAGATGGATGACATGAGATTACTGAACATGAAATGGCCTTACAGCACTTGCTATCTCTTCTGCCTCAATAAATATCCATCATTTGTTTGTGATTTTTTTTTCAGTGCTGCCCTTTCTGTACCTTTCCAGTGAAGGAAAAGTTGAGGAAGAGAGGGAGAGAAATTAATAGAGAAACAAGGCAGAAAGTTGAAGGACCCAATTTAGTTTCTTTTGTGTGTGTGTGTGTGGTGTACTCCGTTTCCCTGAAAATAAGACCCAACCGGAAAATAACCCTAGCATGATTTTTCAGGATGCTCATAATATAAGCCCCACCCAAAAAATAATCCCGTTAAGATTGTCAGCCAGATGGATGCATTTAGTACAGTATTTTCCCCCAAATGAGACCTAATTGTAAAATAAGCCCTAATGCGTCTTTTGGAACAAAAATTAATATAACACCAGGTCTTATTTTCAGGGAAACATGGGTATGTATGTATATATATATGTTTGTATGTATGTATGTATGTATGTATGTATGTATGTATGTATGTGTGTATATATATGTGTGTGTGTGTGTGTATGTGTATGTGTATGTGTGTGTATGTATATATATATATATATATTTGTTGTTCGTCCATCGATTTCGATGAAGACCTTGACATCTTATGGGCAAGATGTCAAGACCTGCGCGTGGATTGGATTAAAGTGAGGGAGAGGTGCGCATAGTCAGTCTCACTCTGTCTTCCCAGATTCCATCTTGTTCCAATGGCAGGACAAAAGTCGAGACAGCTGGAGATGGGCTGGGCGCAGTGGTTGACCAGGGCATCTTTCGTGTCTTGCCGTGCTCTCAGCATACCACGTTGCTTGCAGAAACTGCCTTCATAATCGTTGGTCCTATTTTAATAGGTCTCATCCGCTCAATCCGCCAGAGTCTGTCTTCACATGCTTGGGATAGACAAATCCCTTGCTCACCGAATGTCGAAGACACAACGGCTACTCTCAACCTGGTTTGGCCAGCCTGTCGAAGCTGTTGCCCGGGGTGTGGCCGCTGCGCATGTTACAGCTACTAGGAGCCACAGGTGA